ACAAGTCAAACACTAAACACACCGGCGCTAGATGCTGGCCGGACAACGACAAGCAGTGTGAGACCAACATGGTGAAGAGAATGAGCAAAAACAGCAAAGCCCCGTCTCGGCCTCTCTCTACCGGGTGTGCAGCGAACTTCGAGATCTTCGGCGGGAGTGACCCGGGAACAACTGCGTTCTTGGACTAGACTGGGCAGGGTTGCCTCGGTCTTTGTTCCGGCACGCATCAATACATACGTCAACATGTAGCATATCCGCCTTGCTCTCTTCTCTCGTCACAAAATGTTTCACCGTTGCTGCTGGTTGTGAACGTTGTCTGGTTGGCAGTGGCGTCAGAATAACAAGGCAGATGTGCGCGTGCTTCTCAGCAGATTTCCTTTGCTACCGTTCTAGGGTAGCACTATTCGGGATTGGGGTTCTCAAGAAAAAGAGGAAGAAAAGAAAGAAAGAAGAAAGGAAGGAAGGAAGACAGAAATGTTTCAGAAGGAAGGGAATGACAAGGAAGGTGGAATTGGACATACATACCGGGCAAAGGCACCTCACCTTTCAACTACTCATCATGGCTTCGAGAGAAAAATAGTGGGGAGCACTGGATCAGAGGGGCACATCGGAGGCCGGCAAGGCCGTATAAATGTGCAGAAAGGGTGCCCGGAACAACACCAGCAACCAACGTCCAGCATATACATGACATTTAAACCAATTAATTTCTTTGTCGGGAATAAATAATGGCATCGATGTAGGTGGTGTACTGTGAGCCGTGAAGTCGATAATGTGAGGCACACCGAGAGAGTGAGGCGGATACATTGCAGCATCAAATGGTATACATGGGGTACACTGGTGCTGTAGCAAAGAACAGTCCTTGGGCGAACCCCGCCAGGCAGGGTTCTAAATTGAAAACTCCTGTCTTGCCTGGATGTCGATCCTTTGTCACTCTTCACGTTGGCCTCGACCCGCAGATACCGCAGTACTAGTGTTTGGCATTGGCAACACTGAAAACGGCTGGAACTGCAGTCTTGGAAATTAGCAGCAAGCACCAAAGCTGCTTGTTATCTTTACAGGAAGCCAAGTTTGTTGTGCAGGGTTACTAGGATCCCGGTTCCCTGTCTCCTTTGCAATGGTGCAGGAGGGTACATGCTGTACCTATACTACGAAAGGAAGACAAGTAAGTTCGAGGCTACCTAGCCACTACAGAGTATCTACACACATACAGGTATACCTAGGTACTTACCTAGCAAAGTATCTACATAGTGTAGTAGTATCTAAGTGAGTATCTAATGTACGGTTGCAGTACAAGTAGGAAGTCCTAGTTGTCCCCGCTTGTTCCACTTAGGGACACCCGAATCAGCTGCAGCTGGAAGAGACGCTATGCATATGCATGGCAAGGTTTCGGCATTTGGGGCTAGATCATGCAAACACTTCGGAAAAGCAGTGAGGGAACTTGATGTCTCTGAGGAATTCTTGTCAAGCACAGAAGGCGACCAATTGATTCTGCCTTCTGCCTTCTGCCTTCGGAGAGCCCTCTCTGAAGGTATGGTTACACAACAGGCTACAAGGGAAGACCCGTCCATGTGGGTGGTACAGAATGACTACACTTACTATTAGGTACCTACATACCTGTACACACTACACTACAGCGCTGTACTTATTCACCAATTGGAAAATCACACAGTTCGTCAAACCAAGTGAGTATTGTGCCTAGTGCACACTACACTACATGCCCTCCCCTGAGACTAAAATCCATGGGGCCATGCGTGTAAGACAGAACCTAGGATACTAGACGGCACTACTCGGAGCTATTCTTTCCTCAACCGTGAGTGACAATCTGGGAATATGGCCGACGCGGGACAATGTACATGTAGTGCAGTTTGTCGAGTCAATTGATATCTACCTACCTCATCAATTGGCCATTGGAGCAACTCAGCAGGTGGAACACGCATGCGGATCGCAAATCCTCAAGAGCAAAAGAAACACCACCACCCTAGGTTATAGAGGCAATATAGTATACTGTGCTGTTCCCAAATTGTTGAAAATATAGGTGGGTAAGGAGTGGGTGGAATGCATGGAGCTTTGGAACAGCTTGTATTTATCCCTGGCGGAAGGCCGATGTGGCCCTGAAACCCCCCGGTGAGTTCGCCCTGTCATCCATTAAACCCCCGCTAACCAGGCCATTGGGTGATTCCTTCGGGCTCCGCTATGGCGCTGCTAGGGAGATCCAACATCCGCACCAGAGAGGCTGTGAGAGACGCTAATCCTATTCCAGGTCCGACCAGGGTTTAATGAGTCAGGTGATTTCGTGCCAGTATCCCGTTCTGCCAGACGCGTGGGCCAACAACCATCGTCAACTAAGCGTGTTTGCCTGAAGATATGGGCTACTTTTTATTACTACCACAGGCATTCACGCAGCAGCGTCGCCTCCCGGACATGGGTCGCCCGCTATATAATGAGGGACACCCCCGAAAATTTCTCCTCTTCTCTTCATTCAAACGGAAGGGGGCTTCAACAGGTAGGCAAAATCATCTCGTTTTATCATCGTTGTCATTTAGTCATTTCGTTTCCATCCTCACATTCATCGTATCCATCGCATTCTATCGCATGACCATCTATCGCACCGATCGAAGACCAGGTTTGGACTTGGTTCCTCCAAAAACGGAGCTGGTAGCCATTTGCGACCGAGGCATTTCTTCATAGCTTCGGACTCTGACTACCTACCAGTCGGAGATTGAGGTATCGCACATACATACTCATTTCGACAACATGCACAGCAAACGCATCGATCCGCCCCCAAGCAGGAGCTTCTCCAAGGGCCACAGAGTGAGTAAGTCGAGTGCTTCTTTCAGCAAGAGCCATGGCATCACGAAGCCTCGACATGACTCCCGGCGTCGCTTGACGACATCCATGTCGCAACAGATAGACGAGAATATGACATCCGACAGGTACGAGCACTTCATCTTTTCATTTCATCCTGCTATAGTTTCATTATTTCGCCTCTTCTGACATGTCGCTTGCATGCAGTAACCTCACGCCATCCATCGTGACGCTCATCATCGGTCGGGACCAGCGAATCTTTGCGGCCCATGAGGATGTACTTTGTGCATCACCATGGTTCCAACAAGCCTTGTTGGATCAGAACATGGATCCGCAACATGGAAAACGGGTCCATCTGCCAGATGACGAACCAGAGATATTCTCGTCCATCCTCGAGTACCTCTACAAGGGAGACTATTACCCGCGATTAATCCACAACAAGCGTCGTAACTCGTGGGAGATCGAACAACTCGACGAAGAACGTGGATCTAGCGAGTCTACTATCTATCATCACGCCATCGATGGCGATATCCTCAAGGACACCGTTATCTACTGTACGGCTGATAAATACGGGCTGGAGGAGCTCAAGCGTGTTGCGCTGCGGAAGCAAGGTCTTCGTAAGTCTACCCTACACCTTCTCATTGCTCCTTGGACGCATGCTGACGATGGAAGCGACAGAGTCCGGCATCCAGTGCAGTACCATACTAGCGTCAGCCCGCTATGCATACGCCAATACGCCAGACACCGACTCCAAACTACGAGCACATTATCTCGCTCTCATCATTCGCAGCCGCAGCACCTTCAAGCGCAGCGGCACCATGCAGCTAGAGATGTATAACGGCGGTACACAGCTGTTCTTTGATCTCTTCGTTGCTTTATGTAATCATGTGGACGATGTCTCGAGTGCTTCGTAAGTCTCTCTTTGGTTCATTTGGGGCATCCCTCCTCAGACCTTACTAACGTTGACCTTACAGAAACACACCACGGAGTAATCGTCACTTCTTCTAGTCACTCGTTTTGATCAGCCCCCCCTTTCTTTTGTGCTATCGTACTCCCCGTTCTCAATTTCGATATTTGGTTCCCATCTCATCATATTGCGGATCCTATCACCATCACCATCCATGTTATGGGCGGTACACCTAATGATCAACGTTACGATTTTGTCGCTTTGCCCTTCCTGTCTTGTCGTTTTCCAGGAACGTCACCTCGATGGACTTGCTTTTTTTTTATACTTGTTTTGGGGTGTTGCGCACACTGACACAAATACCACATCCTGGCGTTCTGGTGTTCATCTCGTGGCGAGTTGGAGTTGTTCTTCGATTCTTTTGCTATCCTTTCATGACGTCCTGTATTACTATTATTTTTCGATGTCGTTTCGGTCAGACAGAAACAGACAATAATATCTCGCCGCCGCGGGTCTGTATGGTTTGTCTCTTTCCTTTTAGGCTGTTGTATTTCTCGCCTGGGCGCGATTTTCCAAGGGGATAATGGCGAGAAACCCCCAAAGATTACACTACAGGATGCTTGGGAGCTGGGAGCGGACTCTGGACGAGAGATAAGGGGCACCCAGACTGCAAAACTGGAGGATCTCTTCCCATTCTCATTTCGTTGGTACTTCCTACCAGCTCTTATTCTTTCACGAGATGAGAACGAATGTACTATTACACTTCTAGACTATCGTTTATGTAAGGGTTCACATCCTTCTTCCCCAACAGAAGGGAGGCAGGCAAGTAAAGAGAAGATCGAGGTCGGCTTTCTTTGACTTTGAAAGCAATGGGAGAAGAAGAAATAGCAGGCTTGAGGAGATGAAATTTTGATGATGATGACGATAGATTGCCGTTCTTGTATATGCTATTCGAGCAACCTCTTGGTGTCTTTAAAGGTGTTTGTGCGTAAGACAGGGCTGAGACCGCTTTTCTCTTGTGAGACCTACGCATTTTGCTGGCCTTAAAGATGCCCAAACTACGCTGCCAAATCCAACTAAGTATGTAAGGAGAGTACTGGTAATAATTTAGGCAAGGAAGACTAGTTCTATAAAGAAACATTTATTTTCACTACAAGCATGTAATTAATTTGGTTTGTTGATAGTATAGAACCCTTTGTTACAGGTGTTGTGATATATCCAATGCTATATATAGTTACGAAATAAACGTTCTAAAATGAAGTTGGAAAAACTTTTGCCCGTTGCTGAGAAGGGCTCTGTGGTCTAGTGGTATGATTCTCGCTTTGGGTCGATATCGAAGTTGCGAGAGGCCCCGGGTTCGAATCCCGGCAGAGCCCAAGTTTTGTTGGATATTTGTTTTGCTAGGGGTTTTTTCTTCCTTTTCCCTTTTTCGTTCTTCTTTCTTATCTGCAAAATAAATACAGTATGCTGTAAGCAATATAGAGGGCAATATAACAGTGTTTTCAAACATGGAACAAGGGTTACATAAAATATAGCGAGTGGTTTGACTATTTCAGGCGTCTACCCCACTTACCTAGGTCTTTCAGGCCTCTTTGCTTGCTTAAATATGTGACTTCAATGTTAATATATAGGTATGGTGATGTTGAACTCATCTAAATCAGGGCTGCCATTACCTTTGCATAGAGAGTTATTCCGTTTGTGACATTTCAGATTTTTATGTTTAGTTCTCAGTGGCATGAATCCAACAAGTCGAAAGAGAACCTATGAAGCCTTCAACCCATCAACACATCCCACTAGCCCCCTCATTCAAGTCCCAGCACTCCGAGTCCTATCTATCCAGACCTGGCTTCTAGCCCGACACATGTTCTTGTTGATCGTCATGACCTAGTTCCTCCTTATTACCCCCATCTTGATTCGCCAATTCGAATATATAAGTCCTAGTTCTAGTCCAGTAACACAGACTCCAGGTACTTCATTCAGTAGGCTTCCAGGATGTGAATGGGAGGTTGCCCATGGTGCGTGCAGTAGGTAGATGCGCCATCAGATAAGAAACTCATGCGATGACTCCAGATGAGTGAGTCATCGCTGTGAGTACTTGACTTACTCACTTTCTGTGCTGCGCTGTGCTACGGTTCTGTTCGTACTTACTATCTAGGCAAGACCACAAACTGAAAAGGGTCCTTTGGTGTCGGGATTGGTGATTTTCTTTTCTTGTATTTTTAGATCATTGGGTAGCCTTGATGCGCCCTGTGGCCCCCGCCCCAGGCAGTGAGGATAAGCTACTGCGCCATCGATCTTCTCGACCGTTCTAGTTGAGTCCGTCTTCTAATTAAGGCGAGATCTTTTGCTTCTGCGACAAGGAAGACACTTAGATTGTGCATCACTCGCCAATTTCATTTGATGTAGGTACAGGTATACCGCAGCCCTGCGTTGCGAGGACAATCCTGCTGCTTCATTTTCGGATGTTCCTCCCGGTAAAGTGGCAAGATGGCTACACGTCGACTGCACATCGACTGCTCATCAGCCACTTACTTATTTACTTGATCTGCCTTCCCCACACCAACAGTCATATTTCTTGTGATGAGACCGACTCAAGCCTACTGCAAGGCTGTCCGATAGAGATGTGTGTAATCTCGATATCGCCACTACTCACGATGACAAACGTGTGACTCCTATTTCGCCGTTGCCATGCATATTGAAGAGTCTTATGTGGATATGTGTATCGTTTTGCTTAATGGCCGCGTAATCCCTGACTCATACCTTTGTTCCCGGAAAGGCACCAGACTTGCTCAAAACCACCATCCCGCGTTCGTGGGCGATGTACCCTTTCATGAGATTCTAGGCCGATGTGTTAGCAGTGCGCCTTTCGTAAGAGATGGGGGGGGGGGGGGGGGGGGGGGGGGGGGGGATTATATCAGGAGGAGGTAGTGTGTAGAGGATACTAGGGTAGAGTGGCGACTTCCAAGGGACTTGTTTCTCTCTGAAGCCAAGACAATCTCTTGAATAGGAAGTCTCTGTGAAAATAGGAAAAATGCTAATGTGATCCACGCATGAGCGCTAGTTCCGACATACCTTGTATATCATGTTGGCCATAAGACATTCTACTTCGTCAGAGTCAATGGCCTCTCCACTGCTCATCTGCACGGCTGCTGTGAACTCAGTAATAGGGATCCTCGTCCTCCGCACGGGTGCTGCTCCGTCCTTGGCTTCCTCGAACCCTCCTGCTATAAATACCTTGCGTAACAAGTTACGCAATACAATATCACGTCCACGCTCTAGTGTCAAATAGACGCGTCGCTTTATGAATTCGTCTTCGCCGTCGCGCAGAGCGATATCAAAAGCCCGCAGATCAGATTTTTTGATAGCACGGGCTAGCGGTATGAATAGCTTCTGTAGGCGGGGAAACGGTTCGAGCAGCTGCGCGCTGGGAAGTGTATGAGTCGTTAAAAGACGGCACGGGATAAGATAAGTGAGGATCAGTCTGGACAAAGTTACGACATGAGCCACAAGACGCGAGAATGGAAAGTACTTACTCGAGATTTCGTTGCGCATCCTTGTGACACATCAGCCATGCCATCTCGAGATGTTTCTCAGCCTGATGTTTCGTTAGTTTCCATTAAGATTAGATTGGGGATCGCCCGGACCACTTGCCTCAACGTAGTTCTCCTCGAGAAAGGCCAAGACACCCTCATAGTACTTGAAGGTGACCTGCTGTGACTTAGGGAATTTATCAATTGGGGGGATATCACTTCGACCGGCCGATATTGCCCTCAAGATATTCTTCGAGAGCGATTCTGAATTTAGCTTAAAGTAAGTCTTGAACAGTAGATTGACAGCGTAATAAACCCCCCATTTGCGAGATTCGTCCAATGGCGCCCTAGCCCGTATTAGCAGTAGTCCGAGAGGGATGTTGGGTGGCGAGGAGTATTCACCTATCCGAGGCGCAGATCTGGAAGATTCTGTTCAGATATCTTGCGGAATCTTCAAGACTCTTATGCTCCTCTGCTTGCGGATCAAAATCGTCTTTCAGGTCGTCACTGGACGTATCATCATTACTGAGACCCCTCTCGGCATCGGCTCTCATGGCAAAAAGCCTCAAGTATCTTCCAGTGACATAAAGACATGGGATGGTCCAGTTTTCAAAGTCGTGGTTGGTATAGCCCCGGACCGTGAGTATTGTGAGCTCCTTCCATGCGTCGTACACCTTAGCCCACGAAGACTTGGCTCAGTCAGCGTGAAGCCCCGTAGTTCAACATAAAACGCGGGCAATGAAACCCCGGAAATTATGAACTTAGTCAGGGAAATTACTATTACCGCTACCTGTAAGTTCGGCTTACCTGGACATCAAGTCGCAAGCCTTCGACGGCTAATATTTCTCCTATGGCTTTCCAATAGGCAGTGTAGATGGCATGCCACCCGCCTGCTTCTTCCTTCGACAGCCTGATGGTGAGGCGAGCCTGGTCTTGATGAAAAAGGAAGTTGAGATCGGCTGTCATGGACCTGACATCGCCACGGCCCCAGATAGCTCGGAGCTTGGCCGAATGTGCTTGGACGTCCGGGTTCAGGGTCTCAGCCAGTTGTTCACCGTTCAAGGCAGCATATGCCACTCGAAATTGGCGAATTAGGCCATCCATGACCGAACCAGGTACGCCACTACGAACAACAGCACAGACTCGTCGGGTTTACTTCGGTTTTTCGTTGCCGATGAGTATGGGGCGTGCGATCTATAGAATTCTTTACGATGGCGTTGGTGTTTCTCGTTTTTGTCCAGGTTCCAGGAAGTTGCCTTAAGTAAATATAATACAATCACCACCTCTACAAACAATACCTGTGAAGGGCCGCCATTCTTTGAAGTGCTCCGCTCTGATTGGCTCAATCCAAACACCCACAAACCTAGGTGCACGAGCCAACTTCCAGGTCACAGTTGCCCACAGCATTGTAGGTATCGCTACCCCGCCATGCATTCAGCCACTCGAGCTACCATCAACGCCACAATAAGTGGCCCGCCGCACGGCCACACAGCTCTGAATTGCTTGCTAGGGCGGGAAACCCTTAGCACAGAATTTCGCAAAAAGTTCTCGTAGCCGAAGACGTGCCCCAACGCAGCCTCCACTACACGCACCCGACTAGATCTGCCCTTTATACTAACCTCCACGACAACAGGACCGGATTCAAGTCACAGTAGGTCGCAGTCTTTCGTTTTTGTGGTTTGCGTTCGCTCAGTTACTGACAGCTATTCATTCCAGATGGGTAAGCAGTTTTTCCTCCATCCAATCATGCAATTGCAGCCGCCTGGATTCGACATCGACGACGGTCCCGACAGGAAGAACCCTCAAGCGAGCGAGCGTAGTCCTAGATACAGCAGTACGAATGCAATCGAGTTACGTTCTCAAAGGGTTGGACACATATTCGACCAGATCGAAGGGGGTTGCCGGCACATCGCCGTGGGAGAATACTTGCCATTCGATGAATTGTGTGGCGTTCTGTCAAGAGCTTGACGGCAATTCTTTCACCTCCCGGTCGAAACACGCCGCAGTATTTCCTATTTGAACGAACATTTCGCCTCTTGAGCTGGGCCTTGTCGACCGTCTCCGCCGTTCGGAACTGCTTGCTGCATTTGACTCCGCACAACGATCAATTCAATCACTGACTCGATGGTGCCAGGTCGCCTTCAGGAATACCAGGTCATCGGGCGCCACCTGCCCAGCGAGGCCAACCCTACCCCGAAGCTCTACCGCATGCGCATCTTCGCCCCCAACGAGGTCGTTGCCAAGTCCCGCTTCTGGTACTTCTTGATGAAGCTGAAGAAGGTCAAGAAGGCCAACGGCGAGATTGTCACCTTGAACAAGGTATGCTCAAGCCCCCGAGAAGATCAAGTGGCGTAGAAAGGCGTAAGTTGAGGCTGATACATTCGTGATAGATCAACGAGAAGAACCCTCTGCGCGTCAAGAACTTCGGTGTCTGGATCCGATACGACTCCCGCTCCGGCACCCACAACATGTACAAGGAGTACCGTGAGCTCTCGAGAACAGATGCCGTCGAGGCTCTCTACTCGGACATGGCTGCCCGCCACCGTGCTCGTTTCAGGTCGATCCACGTACGAACCCCAAAACCGATGATCGAAGAGACAAATAAAGGCAGCTCTGCTAACATGAACTCTAGATCCTCCGTGTTGTCGAGATCGAGAAGACAGAAGATATCAAGCGCCCTTATATCAAGCAACTCGTCACCAAGGATCTATCCTTCCCTCTGCCCCACCGTGTTCCCCGTCTCAACAACAAGAAGATCTTCAGCGCTACTCGCCCGTCCACATACGCATAAATTGGGGGTTTCTCGTGCTATGTGTGTTGTGGGAGGTTTATGGGAAATGGTCTTT